TTGTTGGTTCTTTCTTGTTGATGTACTGATGGTATGACCAGTATTAGTCCCGCAGGGTATTAATCCCTCCTACACTCAAATGCAGTCAGCTGTCACACGTCCAGCAGAGCTGGAGACGCGCGCACAGGTGCGGCAGTGCTCTGGATCGGAGACTGAGTCCCCTCCAGCAGAGATGCCAACATGCAGACATGGACAAACTCATGTCTACTCTGTTCAGTACTGACAAACATACACAGTATATAGATCCTCACATAAATATACACTTTCATGACAGACAATCTTTATTGTCCCAAACATTCCCTTTTTAAAACCATTCCAAGAGACAACAACATCTCCAACAAGAATGACAAAATGCCTGGTTCCAACCTGTCTACTTAAGGAGGTTGCACGGTATATTCGTAATGGCCACTATTCAGGCGAGCACAGTTACAGCTGTCTGTGTGTTGCTATAAAGTGGGAGCTGCACATTGTTGTGGGTGTGTACAGGAGATGAGTGTGGAGGAGAAGAGGAGTGGAGACAGAGCGGTGTGGCTGGAGTGGCTGACGAGGTACTCTCATTGACTCCACTGAGACCTGGACTCTGGGACTGATGTCTCCGAGGTATATACATAATATAGTCACGCAATAAACTGCACCACTGTGTCAATGTACATGAGTTTGTAGAGTTAATTTGCTACATAGAGCAGTTGGAGAAAACCTGGGATGAAAAAATCTTCAACATGGGACTGATGTTGTATATACATGTAGTCATGTGTGACCAACAAAAGAAACTGCGCCACTTTGTGTCAGTGTACATGAGTTTGTAGAGTTAATATAATAACTGGCTATATAGAGCAATAGGAGAAAACTATGGAGGAAAATCTTTATCATTTTAAGTATTGCAATATGTGCAAAAAATCTTGAAGGAAGAATATTATCGTCAGCTATACTTCTCTTCCTCCAGGTTAATGAGGCTCGTCTCTCCATCATGAAACAGAATAATCCAAGGTAACAAACATAATTTATTAGGTTACATAATATGTTTATGTTATTGCCTCACGGACAGATTTATACTCCGCAATCACATTCTACAGACTGCCATAGAACATGCAGAGAAAGGAGATTTCTCTGAGGTGAGATTACAGTCAAGTATCACGGAATAGCTCTTATGTCCATCATGATGTTCACATTGAGAGTGTGTTGTTCTCCAGGTCCATCATCTGTACCAGGTGCTGCAGACACCCTACCAGCATCTGGGAGGAGTGGGGTCTCCTGGACCAGTGGTTGAGGCCAGGGAGGATGGAGGGACTGTGGCTTCCCATGATAGGGGAGGGAGAGGAGAGGGAGGGGAGGAGGCGGGAGCTGTGGGGTGTGTGGCAGTGGGGTCAGATGTCAATCGATACTACAGCAAGCCACCAGACTGGGCCCTGACTCTGTGCGTCACCTGATCTTCCTAGTCGCCAGAGAACCAGGCTTGTTTGGTCATAGTAATAAGAATCAGCTGTCTATGCAATATTTTATTGCGAACAGGTGATGTTGGGGTTCTCTGGCAGTGCTACTATATGCAGTCTGCACTCAGGTGGAGACAATGGTTCAACACTGCTGTTGGAGCAGTGGTAGTTATTATGACTGGTCAGACCTAAACCACTTGTGGCGGATGACCTCAATGAAAATAATATGAATCCACCCTGTAGAATTTAAATAACTTACTTATGCGCATGCGCACACTTGTATCATTACGCGATGATGTAATCAGTAGAAGCGAGAGAGAAAAACAGAAGGCGGTTGCCAGTATTGTGTTGACTGTTCCCTCCTTGGGGGGCCATCGCCAATCCGTTACCGATCATCTGCGTTTGCAAATATTAGAGGTAAGTGTAGGTCACTGTAAGTCTACCTTGTTGTGTGTTTGTGCTTATGGCTGAAATGGCGGTTCCCTTTCCCTTCACGCAACGTGAAATTGTGTAAATGGTCGAAAAATAATATGCCATAGCCTCGTGTATTGTGAGCAACGGCACGTCCTCTCTGTGGTGTAGAAGTGTGGCCGGTTATTGATCGCCTAGTCTAGCATCCAGACCCCAACCCTCTCCCAAGGAAAGAGGGTCTTGTCGCACGAAAATTGGTCCCCCCCAAAAGCGGTCCCTCAGAACTTCCCGGAAGAAAATTGGTCCTCCGCACCGTCCACAGAGACCCTAGGACCGTCCTTGGCACCGTGGATCCCCCCCCCTGCCGCAGAAGGTCCACCTTGTCTATACTTTCTTAGTTTGTTTCACATTATTATAAATAAGGCTAGCTGCTATCAACTAGCAAAATTATTGATGGTCGTCGATCTGCCCCGCCCCCTTCTTTCTGCGCCATAAATGCTGCTCCGTGTGCTTAGGACAGACGAAAAGTTTTTTGAACATTAGTGTATTGCAAAACGATACGAAATCTCAAATTTTCCACAAAAGCAATTTGTTGTAATACAAAAATCATGAAACCATTCACTGCAGGTATTGCACTGTATCAGTAGAGTAACACGCGCGGGTGACGACGTGGATGCGCCTGCAACGAAATGAAACGGGGAGAAGACGTAACTGTGTAGCAGTTACCATTGAAAAACACATAGTGACACGGCTCAGTGACACTCAAAGATGCTACGATATGACAGAGATACGGGTTCGCTTGATACTGTGCATATTTCTGGTGGGGGACCGTGTGTTAGCTACGGGGGGGGGATTACGGCTGCCACGGACGTTCCGGGGGGACCGGTTTTGGCGGGGGGCCATCTACAGTGGAACCGTCTAAAGTCTCCACCAAGCCGCTCCACCCACAATGGGAAGAGAACATCTGATTAAGCTGTAGTATCCAAACCTCTCTTCTGGCATACGAGTCCCAAAAGTCCGCAGACGTGAAAAATCTAGTCATGAAGCCAATATGCTAATTACCACAGGCTTACACCTCCTACGGGTCCACTTGCTCTGTGTATCTTGAAGGCACAAGAAGTCTCAACGAAGGGCGTGTATCAACCCCTGCATGCAATCTACTGCAGTAGCTAGCCAGTTTTAGACTCTCCGCAAGCTTCTAGTGTGAGACCAGGAGCAAACGCATACTAATAGCCCAGCCACATGAATTAGTGACACCGCTCATGCGCAGTTCGCAGGGTTTGCACTGTAGTGTTTTCATTAGAACTTGGTTCTGAATCCGTTTCTACTTGTTGTTGCATAAGAGGCCTCACCTTCTAAAGTCTTCGGACTTCGATGCACTCTCAAACAGTCACGTTACATGTTTTCCCCGGGGAATTTTCACAAAAGTTTCCAGAACCCCACTGCACCATTGCAACTAAAGATGGTAGAAGTACAAAAATTTGATATTGCTCCCTAGAACTGCACTTTGCAGAGATCGTCAATGTAGGTTTGTTTGCCTGTCTTTTCTCCTACTTGCTCGATGAAAGTACGAAACATTTAGTCGGTATCACAGTGGTGTTATTTCTGCTACAACACGGACCTTATTGTAAGTGGAAAGTGTAGCTATGTCAAGTTTCTATTTGTATTTTGCGTTCCTTCACCCCACTAGACTGGCCTGGCATTCCACGCATACGTAGAGAGAGGGTCTACTAAACTGCACTTGATGTTTTATCACATTGCAACCAATCACTCCGATTTTTCATAGTTTACATACTCACCGACATTGTACAAGTTCGCCCAGTTTATGTAAACAACCTACATGATACAACATCCCATAGAATGCATGTTTGGCGAGACCTTATCTCCTGCACGTGGCTTCACACGTGCATGCGTGAGCCGGAGAACGAATGTCGCGGCTACACTATCACCCTCTTGCTTGCTGAAACGAATGCCAGTGGTCTAGACTATCATCCCACTTGCTTTGCTGAGAAAGAATGTCTGCGGGCTAGACTATCACCCCACTTGCTTGCTGAGAAAGAATGTCTGCGGCTAGGCTATCACCCCACTTGCTGCTGAGAAAGATGTCTGCGGGCTAGACTATCACCCCCTTGCTTGCTGAGAAGAATGTCTGCGGGCTATACTATCACCCCACTTGCTTGCTGAGAAAGAATGTCTGCGGCTAGACTATACCCACTTGGTTGACATGATGGCTTGGGACTACATGACACACCCCTGAATGAAAGGCCACATCTGAAGATGGGGAGAAAAGAAAAGAAGAAAGAAAGGCAGCGATAATATTATTCTGCCGAGGGAAGGGAGGTGAGCGCTAGTTGCCTGGCTCCATTCCAAATAGTGTGTGCCGTGCACTTTGAACTTCCCACCGAGACCTGTAAACTGCATGAGCTTACTCTATGCCCCTATTCCAAGCCACCAGACTCTTCTCGTTGTGATTGAGTCTTGGTACACATACATACGTACATACGTACATACGTACGTGCCCTTCACATTTAGGAGTTATACTGACACATCGATCCCTTTATAATTATTGCCTGGGCTATTTGTTGTTGTTACAAAAGAAATAAGTATGACCATCTCTAGGGTGACGGATATCTACATTCTTACAAAATTTCATTACTATTATGGTTGTTTCGTTTTTGAGTTATGGTGTTGAATCTGAGAAGAAGAAGAAGAAGATGAACAAAACTCCCTATCATAAGCCCCATACATCTATGATGCTAGGTACCGATGTCATCCTATAACTAAGTCTACACCGTACTTAGTGATACACATACGTACGTACATACGTACCTACGTACGTGCCCTTCATATTTAGGAATTACAAACTGTCACTCATAGGAAGTGTGACTTATGTCACGGAGGAAGTTTGACTTCCGTTTTGTCGCAAAAGGAGTGGAGTCCTTAGGCATATGCACTGTGCATCAAATACATAGTCCCGGTCGAACGCAAGGTGACACAGGTAGAACAAACTACACAGAGACGTGACACACTTTGCTGCTTACTCAGTACATACACCAACCTCTCTTGGTGTGTGTTTGACCACGACATACATACTAAAGTGTGGCCGTTTTTTCCTGTGCATTTGGCTTGTATGTAGTGCACGGCATTATGTGCGTCTGCCCATTCCTATATTATTTGCACTGAACCCCAGCTACAATTGTCAATGTATTCAGTATGAATTTTGCCTGTCCTGCACCCACTAGCTACAGAATTGGGGCCACCTTTTTTCACAGTCACTGCCTATGGGATTATTTGAGCTGCAATCTCCAGCTGTTATCAAGGTATTCAGGATGGTGTGTGATTGTTCTTCACCCCACTTGCTTGCTAAAAGTACGAAAGTTAAGGCCACCTTATTTTCACTCCTGGGATAATTTGCGATGCACTCTCCTGCTGTTTCTATTAAACCTTTCTTTCCCCCTACGTGCTTGCTAAGAGCATGATGCCACCTTTATTCCCAGAAATGCTCTAGAATTTTTGCACTGTAGTCTCAACTATAATTATTGTCAGTGAATTCATTAATTGTCGGCACACATGTGCAGAAAGGGTTACAGTACTTGGTCTTCTCGTCTGTCTGTCTGTTGTCAACGCTTATTCTGGTACTACAGCAGCCTGTGATCAATACTAACAGCTTCAGAACTACGCGAGCCAGGAAACTACAAGTGATTTTCCTGAAACAAGTGAGTTAGAGAGATATGCTGCAACGCTAAGCCAGTGAAAAAGCCATATGCATGATCGTCACTGAGCTTACCTATAGACGTGATCCCTCACTCTGTCTACCTTGGAGGCAAATAGAAGGCAAACGAAGGGTTGTTTCGACTCCTGCATCTACTAGTGGAGCTAGCCTATGTCAGACACTCACTGAGCTACTATAAGCGTGGGACCACTAGTAAAGCAACTCATAGCTCAGTCCATCAATTAGTCAGACCCGGCGCCAGCACAGTGCACCGAAGGCTTGCACTTTCTTTAGAGCTTTTCATCATGGTGGCAGTTTTTCCTGTTACCTCACCCCACGTCCATGCTAAAAACAAAGTTGAGGCCATTTTTCGCTATGCTTTCCTGATTGTTTCACTGCAACTCTCCGCACTATTGTTAATGTATTTGGGAAGGTCAGTGGGCCTGTCTTTACTCCTACTTTCTTGCTAATAGTAAGTTTTCACAAGATGGTAAGTGTGCCTGTTCTCTTCACCCCACTAGTCTGTCTCCGCAGACCCTCTCATCCTCGCCCTCTCTCCGGTCACGCATGTACTGTGTGGCGCACACACGGAGAGAGCATGTGCAGACTTACTTAGACCACCTCATTCTCTTGAATTATGATGATTAATCACGATGGGCATGCCAGCGTAAGGTATATAGCTAACCTCATAATCCCAGCAAGCCTTTGGAGAGTCTGGGAATTAGAATTGTATCTTTGTGCTGGCTATCAAATACATACGCTTCAAATCTTTCACAACTGGGGAGATCGCTACATAACAGCGAGTATGTAGTCTTATCAGTAGTTATGTCCTCAACTAGTTCTTCTACTCCATGTCGTCAACCCTCCTCATCCGCTGATAGGGTTAATTATTGTCTATCATGCAGGAGTAACACGTGTTTAGGACTGGACAAGCTTGGACAGTGTGCCTTGTCCTCAGCAAGCTGCTTACGTCTGTACGATGCGGGAGTTGATACACGACATTCGTGGTGCCTTCTGCCTCTGCAAGCTACAAAGAGCTAGCGGCCGAGTAAGCTGGTGCTATTGTGCTAGTGGCTTTTTCGTTTGTTTTTC